TCGAAGGAAGGCTTCTTCATAACCAGCAACATGCAGAGGACACAACCTGGCTTACTGAAAGCACAGAGGACTTGAAGCACTTATGATGAAGATCAAATATTGCAACTCATTGTGAAGAAAATAAAAAATCTTCACAACTGCACCAATATATGACATCAAGAAAAATAAAGAAAAGACGGATGTCATCAAAATTTTAATTTTCTTTGGATCCACAATCAATGCTTAGGGTAGCATCAGCCAAAAAAATGGAATGGCATTTGGCATTGAGAAGTCTGCTACACAAGACCTCTTTCAAAGGCTGCAGAGCGAAGATGTCGCGCTGAGGACTAGGATGTCCTGACACAAGCCGCGGTATTTTCATTCACATCACATGTATGCGAAATTTGAGCAATGAACAAGAAAGACTGTAGAAGAACTGAGACATTTGAATTATTGTCTTGGCAAAGAATATTGAAAGTACCATGGACTGCAAGAAGAATAAACAATTCTTTCTTGGAAGAAGTACAGCCAGAATGCTCCTTATCAGTGAGGATGCACGACTTCATCTCACATACTTTGGCCATGTCATCAGGAGAGACCTGTCCCTGAAAATTAAAGGGTCAGGAAAAAAATAGTAAAAAAAGGAAAATTCTCAATGACGTGGATTAACACAGTGGTTTCGATGAAGAATAGTGTTTTGTTCTATTTTACGCAGAGTCACTATGAGTCAGAACTGCCTCACAGGCACCTAACACTATTCTTAACATTTTCAGAAATGAAAGTTTCTTTATACAACATTTCCTTATATCAAATTACAACGTTAAACAACAACACTTTTCCTAAATCAACCACCTTGCTGTTTCTCTTTCCAACATAGACGTCTCCATTATAGGTTAACCAATCAGGTTTTCTTTCTCTTCCAAGCAAGTCCAACTAGTCAAGTGTTGTGGTCTCCAAAAGAAAGTTCCCTCTTCTGCAGGCAAAGACATGGCTGGCCCTCCTCAAGTCCAGGGATTTGGGGTAAAGGGAAAGATGTCTACCTAAGTGAAGGCACAATTTATTCATGGGATTTTCCAGACAAGCCAGCTTGGAAGATATTACTATCATTAAGAAATTCAGAGAAATATTCAGAAGCAGTGCCTCATTTTAGACAAATTTTTACTTTGCTATTTATCTTTCTGTTTTCTCTAGTTTGTCTATTTATGCCATCAAACTGAATGTACATGTGGCTGATATTTGAGTTGCTGTGAACATCTCAGACTAACAAATATTTACTGATTACTTATGCTGCTCAATTCCAAGCACCAAACATATAATAAATAACAAGAGACATTAGCATGCTCAAAGTATCCACATTTTTGCAGTGGACAGGGGGGAGGCACTAAATAATTAAAACTTATTACAGATAACAAAGAGAACTTAGGATATCCTTGATATACTAAAAAAAAAAAAACAATGAAAGTAAGTGAAAGCCTGGAGCGCTCACAGTTGGGAGAAGGGATTATAACACCTCCACTGAGGAAATGTTGGAGCTGAGGCTTGAATGACTGAATGGGAAGATGGAAAAGAAGACAAATGACGCTCTAACCTCCAGTGAAAAGCATAGCAAATCTGACAGAAACATCCTGGCCAAAGGGGGCATTAACCAAGAAGCGGTCACAGCCATGGGCAGGGGCCGGGCCATGAAAAGGAGTGAAATCAGTGTACAAAAGCTAATTTTACATGACAGTAATGGGACACAGATTCCATTTCTTCTTAGGAGGAAAATAAGGAAGTGGGAGGAAAATTAATACTTATTAACTCCAGCAGAAAATTAGCCACAAAAATAAAACAAACCGAGAATGAACCTCAATGAAATGGACCAATCCAGTGCCGGCAACAATCCCCTCAAACCTGACAACCATTATGAGGATGGTACAGGACTACGAGTTGGAGCTGACTCACTGGCACCTAACAACAACAACAACAACAACAACAACAAACTCCACTCAATGCTAAGCTTTGAACCGGGTAGTTGGTCTTATCTCATTTCTCTGTAGTCCCCCACCCCACCTCAGGCCTCTAAGCCACCTCTTGTCTCTAAGTTTATGGTACTGTGATAACGTGTGTTGCTGTGATGCTGGAAGCTAGGTCACTGGTATTTCAAATGCCACAGGCCCACGTAAAGTGAACAGGTTTCAGTGGCACTTCCAGACTAAGAACAGACAATGAAGAATGACTCGACTCCCCCCTTTGGAGGAAGTAGCCCCTGAAAACCTGATGCATAGCTTAGACACACTGTCAGACACCGAGGCTCAGTGAATGGAAGCAGAGCACTGTCAGGGAGAGTGCCAGACTGTGCGCCTTTCCAGTTGGAGGGCGCTGGAAATGGGACCCAGCAGGAGGAGCTGCGTTCTCCGAGCTGAGTCCACCATGGTGACGTGGTTGGAGTAACGCCTGTGGGAATGGAGCCTTCCCGATCTTCATTTGCTGATGGGACACGGCTCAACGTAAGGAAAAATAGTTGTGAAAATCTGCTGGTGATCTGAACTTGGAATATTCAAAGTTCCAATGTTCCAATTGGGAAACTAGAGGTCATCAAAAATGGGGGAAAAAAATGCACGAAAATCAATATCCTAGGCAAAATGGCCAATACCAGGCCATTTTGAATCAGAAAATCATAGGATTTCCTAAGCTCAGAATAACACAATCAAGAGGAATGGCGTGGCATTCATTGTTAAAAAGGACACTGCAAAATCAATCATGAAGTACAGTGCTGTCTGTGATAGCATTGTATCTATTCATCTTCAAGAAAATCAAACCATTACAACTATTAGTCAAATTTATGTACCAATCACAAAAGCTGGTGATGAAGAAATTGAAGAATTCAACCAATAACTTCAGTATAAAATTGATCAAACAAGAAAAATTTGCAAAACCAATGACCTGCTCCTAGCAAATATCTTTTTCCAACAACACAAAAGGTCATTATAGACATGAACTTGTCCAGATGGAATACACAGAAATCAAACTGAACAAGAATGGCAAGGCCCATCTGTAGACAATTGGACACTCCCTTACAGAAGGGTCACAAAGAAGAGACGAGTCAGTCCGGGTGCACTATAAGCACCTGTGAAACATACAACATTCATCTGGTTCTTTAATGCTTCCTCCCCCCCCCCACCAGCATGACCCCAATTCTACCTTACAAATCCAGCTAGACAAGAGCATGCAAACCGGTACAGATAAGAGCTGGAAACACAGGGAATCAGGACAGATAACACCTTCAGGGGCAATAATGAGAGTAGCAATACCAGAAAGGTATAAGGGGAAGATGGAGGAGACAGGGGCAACTGATCACAGTGATCTACATATATAACCCCCTCCCAGGGGGACGGGCAACTGAAAATTGGGTGAAGGGAGACAGCATTCAGTGGAAGATATGAAAATAATTTATAAATTATAATAATAATAATAATAATAATTTATAAATTATCAAGGGTTCATGAGGGAGGGAGAGTGGGAAAGAGAGGGGGGAAAAAGAGGGGCTGATACCAAGGGCTCAAGTAGAAAGAAAATGTTTTGAGAATGATGATGGCAAGAAATTTACAAATGTGCTTGACACGTATGTATGTATAGATTGTGATAAGAGCTGTATGAGCCCCCAATTAAAAAAAAATGGCAAGGCTTCGTCTTACATATTTTGGACATGTTGTCAGGAGAGACCAGTGCCTACCATATTCAGTAAAGTGGAAGCACAGTAAAAATCAAGAAGGTGCCAAGGAGATGGATTGGCATGGAGGCTGCAACACTGGGCTCAGACATAAGAACAACTTTCAGGATGGCCCAGAACGGTGCAGCGTTTCTTCATTCTGTTGGGCACAGCGTCCCTGTGGGTCAGAAGGGACCCGAAGGCCCCTAACAACAGTGAAGCTTCAGCTGCTCACCCTGGAGGCTGCAAGAAGTAATCATTAATGCCGGTTGAACTAATACTATAACTAATCACAGAAAGCTGCATGAAACTTAGCATGTTAAATTTCTCTGGTGATTGAATTTCTATTTACAAGCCTTGTCAGTTTAAATTTTAAAAAATTATTTTTCTTTCAGTTGTTGATTTGTAGGGCATTGTGTTTCCACGTGTAAGGTACTCTAATCCTGTGATGAAAAAGACAAACATTTCAAATTCTCTTCTGAGAGACACAAATCACACGCGAAGCAATAAAACACTTCAGAGAGCCAGTTCCTCCAAATTGCACTACAATGAGACCTACCATCTAAACATTTTTTAAAGCTTTTCTTACGGATATTTTCCTAAATCATTTTAATTTACATATATACATCTAAACATGTTGGTGTCCACTTGCCAAAGGAAAGCCTCTCATTTTTGGCACCCACTCCTGGATAGCGATCTGTTCCTGTTACACCTAACACCTGTGAAGGAGTTTCACGGGCTCTCGTATTACCGAACAGGAAACCAGGATGATGATGCGTCTTTGAAAACTTGGAAAGAACTGATAAAGGAGTCAACAGTCTAATGAATTAAGTTGGCAAAGAAGTTTGATGAGAAGTACTCACAGCCAACACAGAGAAATGCTGCAAGTACCCATTTAATGTGTTTTTCAAATGTGAAAACACCCTAAAACTCATATTTAAATTGTTTTTAATTACAATGATTCTCACATGCTTTCAATATAAAGTATTCTTTTTCCTCATACACTATCCAAAATGGTAGCCCCAAATAATGAATTATATCTGTTGAATTAATTGTGAGCTCTGTGGAGTGCATTAACTTTCAAGCTCTTTGCTAGCATTTAATTTGCTAAGTTCTCACTTCTAACAGCTCAGTAAGCTTCTAATTCTATCTGAGAACTTTTAAGAGCAGCAACCATGTCATTTATCTTTGAAACCAGTCTCTAACATAGTTTAAGGATTAGAGTAGAAAACCAAACAAGCTCACCAGATGAAAGAGACACTTTTATCAAATACAGAACCAACCTACAATACTTTTCCAACCATCAAAATTCCCCACACACGCCCCTTACCTCTGGTATACAAGTTCCTGTGAAACCAAATAAGCCATTGGCATTGTCACTTTTCTGTATTATTAATCTTGCTGTAGTATTTTCTTCAGAAATCCGAGCTCCCCCATGTACTGAGACAAGTTTAAGAATGAACAATTCTTCTCCTTCCTCTTCATTGTCATCTCTTGCAGAAATAATGAATGATTTGTTGGTTTCTCCTTGTCTGAACTCCATATATCCAGAAATGGGGTGTAAATCACTCTTTGCAGGCCTGGCATGAAGTTCATAAATCTCTTCAGGGGTCAGTTTCCGCTCGTAAGACCTCACATCTTGCATCAAACCTGTAAACCTGTCATCGCCATTCTTCCCTGCCCCAATTCTCAGCATGCCAGGACCTAAAAGGAGAGCCAGGTAAAAATGTTACCATCTCCACAATTCTGGTATCTGAATTTTCAAATATGAGTTAGAAAGCAATTTTATTAAAAAGTTTTACTCAATAAGTAAAACTTGTATATAATAGGAAAGATTTACAGCATCGAAAACCCTCTGTAGGATCACAATGGGTCAGCATCATCTCGCTAGAGTAGATTTGGTCTTTATTGCTCTGGAGTGATTGTTAAGAATGAGTCAGGGAGTAGCCCAGGTGGCATAGTGGTTGACACGTTGGACTCTTAATTGCAAAGCCCACTCGGTGAAAGAAAATGAAACTTTCTACTTCAATAAAGAGTTACAGCCTCGGAAACCCACAGGGCAGTTCTACTTTACGAGGCAAAATCAACTCAATGGCAGTGAATTTGGTTTTCATTTGTGATCATTTATGTAATTATAATATTTTGACCTAAAGAGATTAACTCTTTTTAATTTAGGTGTTGTCTTATATTCCATCAACCACTCAAATCACATTTCTGGCCAGAAAAATAACAAAACATACATAAACCACAGGTAAGTATATTACCTTTATTATGTGCATTTGCATAATAAATTTTCCATAATTATTTCTAGTATACTTATAATTAAGGCTTTAAAATGTGTGAAAATGGAATTAAAAGAAACAGAACGTAAAGATAGCTGCTCCATGTATGGCAGTGTAACACATCAGCACTGGTGACTCTGGAGGCAGGACCTGGGAGAAACGCATCGTGAGTGAAACACAGTTGTGAGAGTTCAGCGAAAACGCTTCTTCTGTGGAACCATCGCTCCTCTTTATCCAAACTACTGACAGTGAATGTAGAAACAGCAGATGACTCGACAGAAACAACTTCGTATGCAAACTTCAGGGACTTTTGCATTTCTACATCACTCAGCACAGAATATCATGCACTTGGTTTGACACCTAGCTTTGTTTAAAGAAATGCAACATTCCCAATCATTGGCACAGTGATTGGTTGGCTAAAACTACCCCACAGTTAGAACTGTTTCATAAGTAGTACTGCCAGCAGTATAGGCAAACACAGCAACTTTTCTGCATAGAAAGCATCTATACAAATACAGTTTTCCTAACTGAACATTCATTAATTGGAATTAATTTCCCATCTTGTGGAAAGTTTATTCAGAAATTGTGTTCCATAAATGTCTGTCCGTACAATGACTGTGAAAATGTTGAGTGACACATTAATGTCACAGACAGAAACCACACACCTATGCAGTGTGGCTCACTCTATATTTACTTGTAAAAACACCCACATAGTTGAAATATATGATGTCAACAGTACTAGTCTAGAGGGTCCGTTATGCTCATTCCAGGATAAGTGTATAAAAGAGCTTGAGTACTTTTCTTTCATCACTTGATCATTTTCTTTAAAATCAACTTTTTAGTATATTTTTAAAATCATTTTATTGGGGCTCATCCAACTCTTATCACAATCCATACATGCATCAATTGTGTAAAGCACACTTACACATTTGTTGCCCTCATCATTCTCAAAACATTTGCTTTCCGCTTGGAGTCCTGGAATCAGCTCATTTTTCTTTTTTTTATATTTTTATTTTATACATGCTGCTTTTAATTAAAATGGAATCACTAAGAATAAACTTTACTAAATTGGCTTTATAAGATTTATAAGCTTCACAGAATAATTAGACTGGGATTTTTAAACCAATTGTGATTAGCAATGTAAAGTAACTATTGAACTTAAATCAAATTTTTAGAAACTTATTTTTCCCCCCTTTGTGATCTTAACCAATTTGAATCCTTCAAGGATTTTCCTATACTATTTTTGGGAGAAGAGATAACGTGGGAGGGGAGGACTGATGCATGCATGATATTTCATGAATTCAACATTCTTTACTACAGCTGATCAATGATTATAAACAAGATGCCTCTTATGTAGTATTAAGATACTGAACCTTGGATTTTATATTGAATATAGGATTTATTTCGGATATTCAATTAGTCATATGATTCTCAGCTGTCTAAGGACTAGATCTAAGATTATTCCCTTGAGAAATGTTAAATTATAAAGAATAGATTTTGAGACTGATTAATTCTGAAATGAAACATCCAGGTTAAAACACCTACTTTTTCCCCGTAGGAGTAGACATGAACAAGCTGGGCAAGCCAATACAAAGTATATGACTATCCCGTATGATCTGACATCTGTTGCTGGTCAACACAGGACTTTTCTTGTGTGATGCTGAACTTACCACTATAGCACAAGTGCAATGTCAGTGGGTTATCTGGAGTAACATCTGAAAGATGGGCTTGTTTGTGTTTGCCCTTTAAAACTATTAGTTTTTCCCTATCTCAAGTTTGCTTTGCATCTATCAGAGTTAAGTAAAATCTTCAGCTGCCTTATCAGGAGTGCTGTGAGGGTAACACTTTTTCTGCTTTTTTCATCTTTTATTTAGTTTAATGTACTATTTGATTTTGGGTTGAATCAATGTAAATGGAAATTAAACACAAATTTGAATGAACAACAACAAAGAAATGAAACCAAAGTATAGTTTTTAAATGACAGTTTTATTTTTTTAATAGGAACTAGTATCCTAATTATGAAGAACACACTCACCGTCCATAATGGCTTCTCCTTTAAGGCTCTTAATTCCCCTGGGCATTGCATTTCCATCGAGGTAAAATTCAAGTATGCCATCATCCAAGATGATTAGAAGATGAAGCCAAACATGTTCTTCTAAATATTTCCTAGCAGTCGCCTTGGCAATATACGTAACGTTGGAACCCAGGGTTTTGTAATAAAGGGAAAGTGTCACATGAGATTCATTCGTGTGGATTTTTACCCCGTAGTAGATGTTTCCATTGCCACCATCCTTTGCTAGAACAAATCCGTTTGTATTGGCCTCAGGCATTACCCAAGCTGAAAAGGTAAAGTTGGCAATTGTGTTGTTCCTAGAGGGATGGTATTTAGGATGAACTGTCCCAAAAGCGCCCTCTCGTCCACTGAAGTACAACGCATCCGTTCCACTATAGGGCCGCCGCAAGTGAGGTTGTAAACGCACAGTGCTGGGATATTGACCAACCAGTAAAAAGTCTATCATTGCAGGCAAACCAGCCACGAACTCGCTGGAGAGAATTTCCCACCCTACTCGTACATCACCAAAGACACCCTGTTGCCTCAAAATAGTGAAGTTGGTTATGTAAGACATATCATCTTCTGAGGGCACATCTTCTGCCACTTCTCTCTCTAAACACTCTGGATCCAAGAGGAAGACTCCAAAGGGGTCGTCATTAAGCGGAATCATTACAGTCACCTGGAGATTTGTTTCTGCTAGTTGGCCCCCAGGACCTGGGGAGCCACCTGTAATAAGAGAATGCATAATACATGAGAAAACAGATGTTGAATTACTTCCTAGCATAAGGTGATGCCACCTCCCATCTGTCAGCTTGTCATATTGTGCTGGCTTGCACATTGCCATGGGGCTGGAACTCAGGCCATTAATATTTCAAAGACCAGCAGGGTTACATACAGTGGAGAGGTTTCATCAGAACGTCTGGACTCAAAACGATTAGGCCGCAAGGCTTTGGTACTCTCTTTCTGAAACTTGGCCACTGACAGTCTATGGATCCCATGAGAACATAGTCTGAGACAGTGCTGAAGGTGAGTGCCCTGGGATGGCCACAAAATGAACTCAAACCTGCCAGGGATCACAAAGATGACCTCACCGGGCAATGTGGGGTTTGTTGCGGTAGTGACCTGACATGACAGAAAACTGTGGGATGGCTCTCCTCTGTCACACGGGGTCACGGTGAGTCAAAACTGACTCAGTTAACAATGGCATTTTGCTACATGCTCAGGGGCATGATATCAAAGAACACGCTTCGATCTCATTTCTGTCATCGTTGTGGTAGAAATTAATTAAATGATAGCACCGAGACCAAGTTACTACCATAAATCTGTACTTCAACAAAATGTTTTGTCAGACTGAACATACACGGGGTGGGAAAAGTCTACCTACTCGTTTGTTTCACAAAACAAGCATGCTCAGATCACAAAATGAACACTGATACATTTATTAAGGTATCTTTAACTTTGTATGAGACCACTGCTGCGCTTTGAAAATCAGGAAAATAATTTTCAATTCCAAAGACACAGACCGCAATGGCTGTCGGGGGTGCGAAGGGAAGGAGGGGAAGAGAAGGCATAGAGCGCAAGTTCCCAGGTGCATTTGGCCTACTGGCCCTTTTTCAGCAGAAAAAAATTTTTTTCCTTAGCCTCCCACCATCCAGGACCTAAAACTTTGTACTACAGCCATTTATCCAGGACAAAATGCAGTTAGCTGCTTTTGCAGCCCCTCTAAATAATTCCAACTTCCCCTGAAGTTGTTCCCATCTGGGGAAACCCTGGTCTAGAGGGGAAATGCGCTACCTTTGGTGAAGGGAAGATAATAATACTGCGAGAGAGAAATGGGGCAAAGGGGTGGGGAGAAAAAAGGGAAAGCTATTGGGGGTGGAGGTTGTTGAGTTGTTTAACTTGCTAAGCTAAAAAAAAAAAAAAGGTGATCTGACATATAAAACCCAAGAAAAAACTTGGTGACGGGGGTGGGGGTGGGGGGTGACCACTCAGGCTACTGTGTTGTGCATGTACCCTGAGAAGAGTAAGGGACATGGGAAACCACTTATGAAGCCACTACAGTAATACAGAAGTGGAAGGGTTGAGGGATATCATGATGGTGGCTGACACCAGGATGCTGTTAGGGGCAGCTGAGTTGGTTCCAACTCATAGCGACCCTATGTACAACAGAATGAAACACCGCCCTGTCCTGCGCCATCCTCACAAATGTTCCCATGCCGGAGCCCACTAATGCTGCCTCTGAGTCAATCCATCTGGTCAAAAGCCCTCCTCTTTTTCGCTGCCCCACCACTTTACAGAGCATGATGTCTTTCCCTGGGGCCTGGCCCCAACTGAGAACATGTCCAAAGAACATGAGACTACGTCTTGCCCTCCTTGCTTCTATGAAGCATTATGGCTATACTTCTTCACAGACAGAGTGTTTGTTCTTTCAGCAGTCCGTGGTACTTTCAATATTCTTCACCAAAACTATAGTTCAAATTCATCGATTTTTCTGCAGTCTTCCATTTTCACTATCTAACTTTCATATGCATTTGAGGCAACTGAAAATACCATGGCATGGGTCAGGCGTATCTTAATCCACAAAGTAACACCCTTGCTTTTCAAAAATTTAAAGAAGTTTTGTGCAGCATATTTGCCTAATATAATGCATAGCTTGATCTCTTGCCTGACATTTCCATGAGAATAGATTGTGGATTCAAGCAAGTTAAAATCCTAGGCAATATCAAACTTTTCTCCATGTATCATAATGTTATCCAGTGCTCTAGAGGTGGAGATCTGGGTTGTCTTTATGTTGCACTGTAATCCACACTGCAGGGTGAAATACTTGATCTTCATCAGCAAGCGCTCCAAGTCCTCCTCACTTTCAGCAAGCCAGGCTGTGTCATCTACGGATTTCAGGTGACTAAGCCTTCCTCCAACCTAATGCTGCATTCTTCTTTATATAATCCAGCCTCTCAAATTTGACCAGCATACAGATTGAATAAGTAGGATGAGAGGATACAACCCTAATGCATTCCTTTCTTAATTTTCAACCAAGCAGTATTCCATTATTCTGTTCCCACAACTGCTTCTTGATCCATTTACAAGTTCCACACAAGCACTTTAAGTATTCTGGAGTTCTCTTTCTTCTCAAGACTATGCATAGTTTGTTATGATCCACACAATAAAATACCATTACAGTCAAAGCACAAGTAAACATCTTTTTTTTTCTAATATTCTCTGCTTTCAGTCAAGGTCTATCTGACATCAGCAATGATATCCCTTGTTTCATATCCCCTTCTGAACCTGGCATGAACATCAGGCCAACTCCCTGTCAATGTATTGCTGCTACTGTTATTAGATGATCTTCAGCAAAATTTTGCTTACATGCACTATCAGTGGTGTTGTGCTCTAATTGGAACATTCTGTTGTGTTACCTTTCTTGGGAAGAGGTACAAATATTCATCTCTTCCAGTCAGTTGGCCAAGTAGCTGTCTTCCAAATGTCCTGGCGTAGATGAATGAGTGCTACCTGTGCTTCACCAGCTTGTTGAAACCTTTCAACTGGTATTCCATCAAATCCTGGAGCCTTGTGTTTGGCTAATACTTTCAGGGAAGCTTAAATTTCTTCTTTTGGCACCATTAAGTTCTTGCTCGTAGACTAGCTCTCGAAATGGTGGGATGTTGACTGGTTCTCTTTGGTACGGTGACTGTGTATTCTTTCCATCCTCTCATGATGGGCCCTGCATTGTCCAACATAATTCCCAAAGAATCTTTCAATCTTGCAACTCAAGGCTGGAATTTTTTCTTAAGTTCTTTAATTTTCAGATAATGCTGAACGTGTTCTTCCCTTTTGGTTTTCTAATTCTAGATCTTTATACATTTTGTTATAATATTTGAGTTTGTCTTCTCAAGTTTCCCTTTGAAATTTTGTATACAGCTCTTAGACTTCATCATTTTTCCATTTCTCTTAGCTATGTTATAATGAAGAGCAAGTTCCAGAGTATTTTCTGACATCCACCTTGATCTTTTCTTTCCTGTCTTTTTAATGACCTTATGATTTCTTCATGAACGATGTTCTTGATGTCCTCCTTGAATAATTCAGTTATCTTAATAATTATCAATGCATCTTGATTGGATGTTTTATCAACTTCAGACTAAAGATATTGGTAAAATTCTTCAATTTCTGCATCACAAATTTTAGTGCATAAATCTCAATAAATGTATTGACTAGATTTCCTTGAATGCAGATAGACCTTATCCTATCACAGACAGCATTGTACTTCAACACTGACCTTGAAATATCCTTTTTGACAACAAACACAATGCCATTCTCTGGAATCTGTCATTCCTGACCAAGTACACTATGATTTTCTGTTTCAAAATGGCCAATAGTCCATTTCAACTAATGCCTAGATATTGATTATGCATTCCATTTTTTATGACTTCCAATTTTCCTAGATTCATACTTCATGCATTCCTTATTCCTATGATGAACTGATGTTTCTTCTCATTTCTAATAGTGCCCCAACAGCAATTGAAGGTACAGAAGGCTTTACTCTGCAAACCTTTCTTCAACCCCACCATTATGATCAACTCTACTTTGAGAAGGTAGCTCTTCCTCAGTCATACTTTGAATGTCTGCTTACATGAGGAGCTCATCTTGAATCTTTGTTTCCAGATTTTGCAGTTTAACATTGTACTAACGCTGACAATGTGCTGCTCTATGTATTGGGTTTTCAGTAACTGATAATGTTTTGATGCTATACATAAGGTGTGCAGCAAGAACCCTGGTGGCGAGTTGGTTGCTTGTTGGGCTGTGACCTGCAAGGCTGGCAGTTCAAAACTACTAGCAGCTCCTCAGAGGGGCTTTCTACTCCCCTAAACAGTTACAACCTCAGAAACTCACAATGGCAGTTAGTTCTACTCTGTCCTATAATGTCACTATGAATCAGTATTGAATCTATGACAGTGAGTTGGAACTTATAAGATTTTCAGTGGCTAATTCCTCTGAAGTGGACAGCTTATTCCTTCTGTCCAGCTTCACAGTCTGTCTGTATTCTGGAAGCTCTGCTGAAATCTGTTCACTTTGGGTGAACCTGCTGGTATTTGAAATACCAGTGACATGGCTTCCAATACCACAACACACACACTACCGTATAACAAACTGACACACAGGTGGTGGCACACCAGGATACTAGTACAAAAATCATGAGATGTTACTGATTCTATATTTATTTTGAAAGTAGAACAAGAAAAGATATTTAATATTTAAAATCAGATAGTCAAGATATTAAGTTCTTCATTGCATTTCCCATACTGTTGTAATTATTTAACTAAAAATGTAAAAATTTGGTGATGCAATGTAGTGAATAATTCAATATGGCCTTTCTAAAGCCATAGCCATTGTTATTTACACCAACCACTGTTTTCCTAATGAGTCTGGGTAGTAATGTGGGGAAGACACTGATACATTACATGATTCAGTTGTGAGTGCTTGGTAACAGTGTTCATTGTGATTTCCCTTCTGCTGGGTATACAGTGAGCTAGCTCAGAAGCAGGAAGGGGACAGCACACTGCCAGCAAAAGACAAGAGCCAGAAGTGGAGTATGTACTTTGCAACCCAAGATCCCTGTGCCTTGAACCTCCTTGATCCATGAGATAGCTTTGACACCAGAAGTATGACAGAGGAATAGCAGCAACAGAATCAGGATCTAGAAGATGAGGCAGAGTGATGAATTTTCCAACCCACAGAGCAAATAAAGCTGAGTTCTTCTCTGGTGGAGTAATGGTTACATGTCTTATTGCTCACCTCAAAGGCTGAAGTTCTAAACCACCTGCCATTCTGTGAAAGAGCTCTTCAAGAGAAAGACATGGCTGTCCACTCCTGTAAACAATTCCAGTTTTGAAAACTCACAGGGGGCAGTTCTACCCATAGGGCCCCAGGGTTGGCATCATAGGGCCACAGGGTTGGCATCAACTCAGTGGCACTGAGTTTGGTTTTTGGCTTTCTGGGAAGGAGGCTGACCTGTAGAATTGGGTGCCTCTATCCACTCAATTGGGGTAGCTGGATCTTGTTGACCAAAGGAGCTGGGTCTGGAGTTTGCATTGGAGTGGCAAGTCCGTTTGCATGTACTGGCAGTACGAAAAGAGCTTTGTAACATTGCCGTAACAGGCCCAAGGCCAAGCCAAGAGGCTCAAGGTAAGAAAAAGGCCTGCCTATGGGCACGGCAAAGAAGAACCTTTCCTGACTGAACACTTGTATCCTGTGCATTTCTCATCTGGATAGGAACCTGTTAATTTCCCTAATAAAGCACATAATGTGAGCATGCGGTTTTTATGAGTTATATGTGGCCACTGCAATTAATTGTTGAACCCAGCCAGGGAAGTGGAGTGCTCTGGGAGAAACAGTTGATGCCAGAGGGTATAAAAAGGGATAGAGGGTGGAGGCACGCCTGCCCGCTGCCTTTGGGGTGCCAGAGGAGTTCAAATATAAGGCCCACATCATTTCATTTCATTTTCTCAGATAGTAAAATAAGTGAGAGAAAAAACTCCACCTGATATATTCACAAGTTTTAAAACATAAAGTTCATTAAACTCAGGAATTTTATCTGCAAAAGCATGCAGAATTATTGGCTTGGCTCCCTCTCCATCCATGAAGTTAACTGTTCCTGAAGTCTCATAGAACTCCTGTCCAGGCTGCAAAGCAGAGTCGTTCTGAAACACCTGCCAAGCCACACAAACATTGCCAAAGTGTCCTCGGTGCCTCGAAATCCTACATAAAAAAATCAAAGAAAATTATTTTTATGAAAAGCTTGTAAATAGCAAGTCTGATCCTGTTGAGAGCTTTCTGTTATCTGAGAAATACCCTTTTTCTGTCATCCTTATATAAACAAAAAAAATAAAAGGAAAGAGTATTTTTAAAATTATATAATAAAAATAAGAAACTTTGAAAGTCACTAGGAAAAATCCAGATAGGAAAATGAATTCTAAACCCAAGATAAAATATTTCTTTGGGAATTAGTAAACAGTCTCCAAAAGATAACACAGGGTTAGGGGAGTTGCCTATCATTTGAGAAAAAAGTTCCTAAAGACCTTATACAATTCTAGTTTCTCAGGCCAAAGAAAAAAATTTTAAGGTAAAGAAAATTGGGAAAATAATTTGTTTAGTAGCTGACATGTTCACATTTTAAACAAGTGTCAACAATATAAAATGCTTCACAGTTTATTCTCACAACAGAAATCATTCAATTTTTGACAATTTTTTAATCATAAAAGATTCTTTTGAGTTATGAAAGATTTATAACATGTGAATTCAATAAAAAGTTTTAACACTTTATGCAATCCCAAATTTATCTTACCCACATACACTTACCAAAATGCATTTGTCTTTCCTTCTTCCACTGCTTTGTCTATGGGCTCAAAAGAAAAAATACCATTTGGATCATCATTAGCTTCAATGATCACTGTTGCTACTCCATATTGATACACTACTGTATCACCTGCATTAATTAAAAAAAAAGAAGAGAAAAATGTTTAAAAGATCACTAGGCTACTGTATATTTATATATTTTAAATTAAGAAATATTTTACAATGAAACTCAAATTTTCAAGAATTTCCTTACTCACAGACGCTGAATAAATACAAAATTCTGCTCTATTTCTCTAGTGATATTTCATAACATTTCAAAGATATTTCATATATATCTTTGGATAAGTAAGAGTACACACAGGCACATATACACACACACAAACATATATAAAGAGGAGATAGTTATCTCAACAAATTAAATGAGAAAAAGTTCCTATTCCTGCCATTTAGAAAGTATTGCAAAGGAACTACATTATTGAAAGATATGTAAAATACTTTTCCCAATATAATGATTGCTTCTACAGCTTACTGAGATAACAAAACAAATAATTTTCTAACTCAAAAAAATTTACGGTCATTTCTTTGTCATAAAATAATGAAAGGATTATCTCAGAATGTTAAGCAATTCTCATCCATGTCAACTAGAAACCTTGTTTCAGGGTTTCCTTTAGATCTCTAGCTTTAGGGAACAGCATTTGATCTCGTCATACAAAGAACTAAGAAATCCCTATCGCATTGAACTTGATTCCGCGCTACTCAAATTCTTTGCAGACCCGGCTTAGCACCAGATTTGCCTACATATTAGATGTCTCTGTACCACTTCCCAGGTGGAGCTTCAGTTGTTCCTATGCAAGCAAAAGCCCTCTCATCTTAACTCACTTGGCTAATTCTTAGTCATTCCACAGGATGTAGCTCATGTGACAATTCTTGCAAGGACTGTGACTGTTAAGTGAAGTGCCTCTCTACTGTGTTCCCACAACACGTTGTACTTTGTGAGTCTATCCTAACCATTAGGACATTATAATCCTCTACACACACACACACACGTACACAGACAAACTATTGGACTATAAGACCTTCAGTCAAATGCAGCACATTCCATTACATGCCCTGGAAGAATAGATGCTCAGTAATTGGTACAAATAAAGCCCTGGGTGGTGAAAAGGGTGAAAGCACTGAGCTAAACAATGCCCTAAAGAAAAGCATGGTGTTCTATTGAAAAAACAATTTTAATTAAACATTAAAAATTGTATGGCCTGTCAGCAATATTGCTTAAACGAGGTGAGGAAGTTAATGGTCAGAGAAACAAGATTAATGGAACAAAACAACCAGACAGAATATTCATGCACTATGAAAAACGTAACCTATATCATTGAACAAGTTGTTGAATGGGAAGCTAAACTTCACCGATCAACCTACATCAAAAGCACAACATAGCATTATTTAAAAACAAGAAAAGTTTTGGTGAACAGCTGTATTCTGTTATACCTGTCACCACGCATTGGAATCAACTCAATGAAAACCAATTCTGTAAGTTATTTATGATGACAGCTGAACTCACGCAAATAATTTTTCAATTAGATGAATAACTAAAATGATAGCAACAGGAATCCGATACTCATCACATTAAGAATAATGTATACACATTTACAACTGCACTCATCCTCACTTAACATTTGGCTACAGAAAAGGAAGAATAGGATGCATAAAAAGGGAACCATTAATCTGACACCACAGAAGAATAAAATTATGAAGTATCGTACCGTGTCATCAAACATAAAGAAAAAGAACCAAATCAAGTGTTGACAGAGTTCTCCTATCTCGGGTTCTTGTTGCTGTTTTCTTGGTGTTGGCTGCTGTCGAGCCAGTTCCAACTCATAGCGACCCTGTGCCCAACAGAGCGCCACACTGCCCCGTCCTGCCCCGTCCTCCCAATGGCCCTTCTGTTTGAGGCCATGGTTGCAGCCACTGTATCAAACCATCTTGCTGAGGGTCTTCGTGGCTCTTTTTGACTGCCCCTCTACTTTACAAAGTATGATACCCTTCTCCAAGGACAGGTCTCTCCTGACAACATGTCCAAAGTACATGAGATGAGTCTTGTCTGCCTTGCCTCAAAGGAGCATTCTGGTTGTACTTCTTCCAAAACGTATCTGCTCATTTGACAGTCATGGTACTTTCAATATTCTTTGCCAGCAACATGCATTTAAGTACAATGACTTTTTGTTTAGGAATTCTTATCCAAAGTTCAAATTCCAATGTGTAGGAGATGATTATAATGCCAAGCACTGATTCGGGAATATTTTTGTGCTCAAAGTAATATTGTTGCTTTTCAATACTTTTTTTTAAGAGGCCTTGTGCAGCGGATTTACCCAGTGCAATGATCCTTTGATCTCTTAACTGATCCTTCTATGGACACTGATTGTGGATTCATGCAAGACAAAATCCTTAACAACTTCAATCCTCGCTCTGTTTGTCATAATGTTATTTATTGGTTCAACTGTATTCTTGCTTTCTTTACATTGAGTTGTGATCCATACTGAAGGAAAAAAATCCTTAATTTCATCAGCAAATACCCTAAGTCCTCATCACTTTCAGCAAGCAAATTTTTCATGTGCATATTGTCAGCTGTTAATAAGCCTTCCTCCAATTCTGATGCTGGATTCTTCATATAATCCAGCCTCTCTCATGGATACAGCATACAAATTTAACAAGTCTGGTGCGAAGATACAACCTGTCACAGTTTTTTTTCTGATTTTACACCAAGCAGTATCTCCTTTATTCACACAACTTCTTGAACCACGCAGGTTCTGCAGGAGCACAATGAGACATCCTGGAACTTCCATTCTTCTAAAAGCTATCCATCATTTGCTATGATCCACACAGTCAAATGCCACTGTACAGTAAATGAAATACAAGTAAAAATCTCGCTGGTATTCTCTGTTATGAGGCAAGATTCATCTGACATAAACAAGAATATCCCTTCTTTCATGTCCTCATCTGAATCTGGCCCGAATCTCTGGCAACTCCCCGTCAATGTACTGCTGAAACTATTAGTGAGTGATCTTCAGCCAAATTTTACTTGCATGCTATACAGCTGACAGTATTCTATAATTTGAGCATTCTGTTGTGTCACTTTTCTTTGGAAGGGATAAAAATATGGATCTCCTTCAGTTGGCCAAGTAGTTGTCTTCCAAATTTCTTGGCATAGAAAAGTGAGTACTACCAATGCTTAATTGGCTGGTTGAAACATTTCAATTGGTATTCTATTAATTCCGAGAGCCTTGTTTTGGGCCAATGTTTTCAGTGCAACTTGAACTTCTTCCTTCAATACCCTAAGTTCTTGCTTATATGTTGCTCAAATCTTTTCTTTTTAATACTTTTATTGGGGGCTGTTACATCTCTTATCACAAACCAGTGATAAAGAGTGTGTCAAGGACATTTGCACATATGCCGCCATCATCATTTTCAAAGCATTCTCTTTCCACTGGAGTCCCTGATATCCGCTCCCCACTTCTTCTCCCTCCCTCCCCTGCCCACCCTTCCTCACAAACCCTTGATATCCTCTGCCACCTCTCACCCGCTTTTCCATTATTCGTCCCCCTGGGAGGAGGTTCTATGTGGATCCTTGTGATTGGTTCCCCCTTTCTCCCCCCCTTCCCCCACAGCCCTCCCCTAATCCTCCTGGTATCTCTACTCTCCTTCTTAGCCCTGAGGGGTTTATTTACCCTGGATTCCCTGTGTTGTGGGCTCTTGGCTGTAGCAGTGTGCATGTTCTGGTCTAATCCAATTTGTAAGGTAAAATTGAGGTCATGATAGTGGGGTAAAGGAAGCACCAGAGAACTAGAGGAAAGTGGTGTGTTTCATCGGTGCTATACTGCACCCTGACTGACTCATCTCTTCCCTGTGACCTCTGTGTGAGGGGATGTTCAATTGTCTACAGATAGGCATCGGGTCTCCACTCCATGGCCCCCCCATTCACCTTGGGTATGGTTTTATTCTGGGTCTTAGATGCCTGCTACCTGATCCCAATCATGAGGTGATTGGCACCTCATGATCACACAGGTTGGTGTGCTTCTTCCATGTGGGCTTTGTTGCTTCTGGCTGCTCATATCTTGAAACGGTGGAATGTCAACTAGTTCTCTTTGGTAAATTGACCTGTATTCTCTCCATCTTTTTTTTGATGCTTCCTGCATCATATGATATTTTGCCCATGCAAACTTTTAATATTCCAACTTGAAGCTTGAATTGATTTTATTTCTTTCAGTTTAAGATATGTTGCAAATTTCTTCCTTTTTGATTTTCTCACTCTAGGTCTTTGCACTTTTCATTATGATACTTACACTTTGTCTTCTAGAGCTGCCCTTTGAAATTTTCTGTTCAGCTCTTTGACTTCATCATTACTTTCGCTTCAGAGTTTCTTTGTACATCCACTTGAATTTTTTCATGTCTTTATAATGACCTTTTGCTTTCATCATGTCTGATATTCTTGATGTCATCCCACAACTCATCAAGTCTCCTGTCATTAGTGTGGAATATGTCAAATGATGTTGAAATGTTGTCCAAATTTAGGTGGAATATACACAAGGCCATATTTAAGTTCTCATGGACTTTTTTTTCTCAATATTCTTCTGCTTCAACCTGAACTTAGATATGAGCAATTGATGACCTGATCCATAGTCAATGCCAAAATTTGTTTTAATTGTTGATGTTGAATTTCTCCACCATCTCTTCCCAGAGATGTAATCAATTTTATTTTGGTGTATTCTAGCTGGAGTTGTTCATGGTTATAATCACCTTTTACCATGTATAATTGAGTATAAGCCAACCCGAATATCAGCCGAGGCACCTAATTTTACCACAAAAACTGTGCTGAAAAACTAGGCTGATACATGAGTATATACTGTATGTTGTTGGAAAAAGGTATATGCAATAAACAAGTCATTCATTTGCAAAATTCTATCATGTGATCTCCAACTTCATCACTATCTCCAATACCATATTTTCCAACTACAGTTCCTTTCTCTTTATTTGCAACTTTTGTATTCCAACCACCAATAATTATCAATGCATCTTGAATGCATGTTTGATCAACTTGAGCCTGAAGATATGGGTAGTAGAATTCTTTATGTT